AACGAAATGTTTGTGTATTCGTAAGCGAGCCAACCTTCCAGCCACCCAGTCAAATTCATTTAAGATTTTATGTCGTAGGAGTTTGCCAAAAAGCAATTTATCTTGTGGCAAAATTCAAGAATCATTGTTAAATATTGTCAACATTTTTGTTACAACAAACATATTTAATCTGTGTATGTATGTATTTATTATGTATGCGTGTGTGTAAGAGTTCTGAAAGAAAAATATCCACCCACTTAAATGGTTTAATTAGCAAATATTGCAAAAATAAACTTTCGAAGAACATTGAGTTTCTACAATTTGTGAATTCTTACTGATGATCACACACTATTTGACAACATTGTTGTCGCATTGGGATTGGATGGTTGGAAGCAAACGTGTTCCCAAATTGTGGTAAATTTAACAAAGCATACGTGATTGTTAGTACAACATTAAATGGACATTGTATTTGTTTAAAGTAAGTTTGATATTCGAGTATTAATTAAAATTTATGTTTAGAAATTTTAATTTAGTACAATATTGTAATGATTCCAATGAACGGAAATTACAAAAAAAATATTTAAAAATAGGTTAGGTTGATAGGAGGATGTAACTACATCAAATCCGAAGAAATACACGTGCCTGTTGTGCCAAGAGGCCTTATGGGATTCTCTTACTCATATTTTTAATTCTGCTCTCGTTACGTCAAATGGTTTTGAGTTCGTCGGGTTAACTACCTCGAGCTCCCTTTTCTTTAAAGCTACTATATTCACTGTATTGTTGCCGACTACCCCTGAGTGATCTGGAACCCATATGATGTAAACCATACCTCTGGAAGAGTATTCGGTTAGAGCTTTCTTACAATCCAATGTAGTCTTAGATTTAACTTTATCATCTGATATCGCCCTAATTGCCTTCTGAATGTCGGTTAGTATGTTAAGTCCTGTGGGAGCCATTTAAATCCAATTTATGCATTCCGACAATGTACATACTTCTGCCTGGAAGCTAATGTTATCTTCAATATAGAACCTTAGGTCCACTTTGTCTCCCAATTTAGAATCTTCGGTCACGCCCGACGTTTGTGTATAACCCTCCAATGTGTCCAGTATACATTGATGACGTGTCCTATGACAGCTTTTGGTCAGTTCGCCTAAAGTTATGAGCCGTTCGGCTGTAAGTGCCGCCTCATGTCTTATATATATATATTTCAATGGGTAGAAGAAATAGCAATGTTTCCAGAGCCTTAGATGACGTAGTACTCATGTTACCACTTATACCCAAGCAGCATATACGCAGAATTCCCTGTAGTAGTTTGTATTACACTTGTTGTCCAAAGAAGTTCACCAGATTATTGAAGCATAAGTTAAAATCGGTCTAATTACACTTTTATAAATCCAATGTGTCCTACACATTGTCCAGAACCGATATGCCTTGTTGATTCTACACTCTCCATTTTAATATTACACCTAATGTACTTACCTTTATCCGTCACCGGTATCTTTTTGTCTAGGAAACAGGATGCAGTATACTTAGAAATTTTTGTCTTTCTTGTGAAAAGACAGATTTCCGTCTTCTCCGGGTTAACATTGAGGCCTCTCGGTTGAGCCCAGTTCAAGGCCGTATTCACCTATATAGTGGACAACTTCATTTAACGGCGGTTTTCATCGATCGCATGCTGCTTATATTTGAGGTATTTGTCTGGTATACTGCTTCTAACCATACTATCGACCATACGTTCCAAGGTTTTAGATAGGAAAGACGTAAGACTTATCGGTCGATAGGACTTAGGTGTCGCATAACTAAGTTTTCCTGGTATGGTGTTTAAGTCAATTTAAAGCAAGCAGCAATGAATGTAACCCTCGAATACATATTTTAAAAAAGGTTCTATTTTAGTTAATATATTTATATAAATGAAAAAGTAAAACTTGAATTTTTTTTAACAGAGAAATTTGCTAAAAATGAATGCCAACCTAATTGATATATTTCTAATACAATCATATAAAAATAAACTAACAGACACGCCATCTTCGGTAACAAAATTATACACAGTCTCAGTTGCCAATTTCTATTTTGTGGCATAAACACTATCTGCAACATTTACAAACATACCCATCGACCGACAGACGTTCGGACACATCATACACATTCGAACAACTGCCATCATAAAGTGGTAGTGATGCTAAAAGAGCACGGATTACAATTTTCCATTTAATACGAGCACGTACAAGTTGACTAAAGCATTTTATTTATACGAGTATGTTTTTCCATTGAAATCCATTTAAAATGCTTTAAATTGTTTCTTTGTTCCTCGTGTGATGATGGTTATGTATTTACTTGCTGCAAATTTGCCACAACTTGCACTCTCGCACACAAATATTTCTGGGGATTGTCTATGTAAACTTTTTCGGTATGTATGTATCTGTGTAATATTTACTTAGTAAATCCTTAGTTAGTAAAACAATGCTGTTTATCTGTTATATTTAAAGTACTTTGAAATTTATAAAAACCAGACCTTAGAATTGTATCTTTATCATAGAAAGAATATTATGTATATATAAGATTTGAATCGATTCAATGTCAATTGCAAATTGAGCAATTGTTATTATTAAATATAATAACATATCGCTCTGTTTTATTTATTTGACTTTAAGAATAGCTACTAGATAAGACATATACATATTTATTTATACAGGTACATACATACATAAACACATTCAGAAAATAAATCCTTAGGGTTTGTAATGTTGTTGATGAACCGTCTTCAATAAAAAAACTACTGTTACACAAATGTATATTATTTACATTTATGCAGAAGTATGAAGTGTATATGAGTAAAAAATACACGTGTATAGTTAAAAATGTAAAACTGAGTAGCTTTGTCAATATTGCCAATGGCATATTTTTGTTTTACCAGTTTTTATTGTTGTTTTTTCTTTTTTGTATATTAGAATTTTTTGAATTTTCTGTTTTGTATAAAGTTTTTCTTTTCGTCGTTAATTTACCAGAGAATACCGAAAACTTATATTCGTATCTACACATCTGTTTAGACACAAACATTGTCTCAGTTACACACATTGGCAATTGGCAAGGTAGTTGTGTACAAAGTAAGTTGTAAATGTTGTAAAATATTTAACAATTCAAAATATTGCAACATATTTACCAAAGGAGCAGTAGAAAATATTAAAGAAAATGTCATTGTATGTATTATTCATAAATACATTCTTAAGTCTAAACACACTTATGAACGTACATACATACATGTATGTATGTATACAGTACAAAGACAAGGCTTTTGCTAGCTCGAAGTTGCTAGATTACTCGCAGTCAGTTATTGAGTCTCTACGACACACCGTGTATAAATGTACTTGTAAAATTTTAAGTTGACATTGTTTGCGATACTCTTGCGAACGTTTTTATTGTTAGTAGTACTTGTATCATCCTTCCATCCATCCATGGCACATTGCCTAAGGCAGTTGAAGAATGTAATAGAAAAAGATAATTGCATGAAAGTTTACTTTATAGTTGTGAAAATATACTTGTATATGAGTCGAACTTTATGTCTTACAACATATAACAATCTATTTTTTATATAATTATTATTAAAATGTACACATAGGTTTGTAGAATAAATTAGATGTAGTTGTAATAATCATCAATCAATGTAATAAAAGGTATGCATGTGTTTATATCTTAAAAAACGAGTACTTCACATTAATATATTTTGGACAAATATGCAAACTGTTTCGTGTAATGTTAATGAATTATCAGAAAATAAAGGTGGTCTACCGATTTTTAAGGAAATTTTAGTGATCACTGAAATTGAATGTTATTTTCATATTAATTGGAGCGTAATTATATACTAAATTTCTAATTTTATCATTAATGGTGAAACAATGCGTTCTTAATGGATCTATTAAGACCAAAATCAAATATACAGTTATGTGCATTTTATAGCAAACTGTTCTAAAAACGAGCAACAATATTTAAACTTGTACTTTAAACTTATTAAGACAGTTTTCATTGCAAAACATCTTGATGAGTTTATTCATGCATTTAGTTGAGTTTCTATTTTTTTTTTAAATTCTGTACTGGCTAAATGGATTTTTAATGTCTCTGACTGCATTTGTTTCAGTTTTTTTCACACTCTCACTTGTTCACTGCCAATGTCTTTGTCAATGATGATGTTAAATTCTGCTCAAAATTAACATTATTACATTTTACTGATGATAAGAAGAATTCTCCTTTCCAAAAACGTTCATGCAAACCTGCATTTCTATGCATGAGTAAAATATGAGAGACTCTGACTTGCATTTGGATAATTGCATTATAAAAAAGAACCTGAAGTAAAGTAAGACTTAAGTTGGAAGTTGTCATGTTGTTGTTGTTGCATACAAAATATTTATTTACACACAACATATTACTAACTATGTTAACAACAAAAACATAATATCCCAGTAAACATTTTCATTTGGAATTTATATATAAAATATAGTATTGAAACAAATTGACAAATATTTTGAAAAATGAATAAATATTAATGTATTGTTTAAATAAATGCATATTGGGTTATTCGCTCATGACTGACAAACATATTTACCAATACAAGTATCTATGCAGGTTTTAGAGTGTGTGTATGCAAATTATTCAAGTTTATGTCAGCATGTTAAACAACATGCATGCAATCAAGTGTTAAAATAATGAGCTCTAATGTGTAAAACTTTTTAGTTTAGTTTTTTTTTGTTTTACACAAAATTTTACCCTATTATTACACTGCTGTTAGTAAATTGCAATACTTAAAAAATATGTACTGTCGTATGAAAAACGCATATAAAATTTAACTATATTTTAAAAGGAGTTTTTTTTTATATGGAAAAATGCTAAGTGAATCAATGTTAACTTTATTAATATATATCAATTTGATATATTTGCATGTACATATGTGGTTATAGTTGTTGTAATAATAACAGTCCACATTATGAAATCAATTCAAAGTTTTAATATTGTTATATTTATTGTAATATATGTATGTATATTTTTATTCTTGATCATTTACACTTTTGAAAGTTAAAAGTTAATAAGTACTTACTTAATACTTAGTACTTTTGCTATGACATGCAAGATATTTGCCCAAAAGATTAATTAAAATCATTTTCAAGTTGTTAACCGTAATAACCGTAACCAGCATAAGGATCATATGGATTGTATGCATAAGGATTGTATGCATATGGATTGTATGCATATGGATCGTAATATCCATAAGGATTATAATAGCCATAGGGATAATAAGCAGCCGGTGCATAATAGTAAGCTGGAGCAGGAGCAGCCACAGTGATATTTCCCGTCGAAGTGCCGCTATTCAATGATAAATTGTAAGAAAGTGAAAAATTGGAACCTAATAAGCCAAAAATACGAGATTTTCTTAAATTTCCAAATTGTCCAGCCACTAAATCAGTTTCTGTATGATTTATGATATTATTGTTTGAGGCTTTTAGTCTAATGTTGGGGAGGTTATAGTAGTTGGTGTCAGCATAATTATCGTTGGAATCGTCTTCAGCATATTTGCTGTCTTTGTAAGCTGTTGGCGTAGCTGGCAGAGCAATATGTAGGGAATTTGTGTTTGTATTCCTATTTAAGTTTGTAAGTTTTTCAACGCTTCTTTTCCATGATAATTTTCCAAAGCTATTGTTTTTGTTGTCTGTATTATTGCCGTTTATAGATGACACTATGTTGTTGCCACTACCACTGCTACAGATGTTGTTGCTGTTGTTACAATTTCCATTTCTATGTGGCACAGCTGACATTTGCACTGTATTTACACCATAATTCACAATTAGTAGCGTCATGCCAACAAACGTAATTAAAATATGACGACTACAAAAGTAGCAATAAAATGTTGATGTTGTTGTTTTTATTTTTCTCTTCATATTTGTATGTAAGAGTGTTTGTGTATTCCAACTGTTGTCGGCAACAAAAAATAAAAAAAGAAAAAAAATGTAAGAAAGCTAAATTAAAGTTAATTAGTTATTTTGCTGCCATGAACTGCATAGTGTACCCATATCTTTCTATTTATCTACTAAATACTCACACTACTTTCAACACCAACTGTTTGCTACAATTCCCAACAACAATATAAGAAGGTACAAATGTTCAAGTGTAAAGTGCAAAAAAAATAACAGAAATTAAAACAAAAAGAACAAAATAGGAAAGAATACTTGAACTTTTGTCAAGATGAAAATTTTTATTTTGATTTCGTACGCCACATCACGCTATACATACTAACAAACAACCACCCACCAATTTACACATACATTCATATATACTACCACGTAAATACTAACTTGAATGTTGGATGTTGAAAATACAAATTTTGTAACTGTCGGCTGAGCTTTAGAAGTTGCTTATTTTTTTTTTCTTGTTTGTAGCACTAATTATTTAGAGTTTGTTAAATAAACCTTAAATACAAATTGCTGTAATTCTTAATTTAACACAGGTATTTATATATAGAAAGAAGTCTTAAAATGAACAACACTTCTACAACTACAAACTACAACATCAATCATATGAAAACTTATGGCTGACAGAGAGAGAGGAAATCTAGCAGAGGGAAGTACTAAAGTGCATAAATATTTTGTAAATAAATATTTAAGCTTTTGTGATCTTGATCCACATTCATAGAGTTGTCAAGGTTTAGAGATAAATAATAAGAGTTGTCTGGAGTTGAATATATTCAATGAAATATATTTAAATTTGTAACTGAAGGTTGCTTTAAAATAATGAAAAATACACACACTTCTTCGCAATTGAAGGCAAACATTTATTAAAACACATAAAAAGTAATTTAGATAATTTTAATTGTCTCTACTATTTTTAAATTAACAGATCTTTATTGGGCAGCTAGGTTAAAAAGTGAAAAATTGTCAATTGATTTTCTTCCTTTTATGTTGTTGTTCTTTGCTATCGAGTCAAAAAATTTACACTTCCCTACAAAATGCTTTAGCAAATTATTTTACCCCTAAATTATGAAACGACAACATAATTTAACACTCAAATAAACATATTGTCGTCCTTCTGTGAAATTTTCTATAAGATTCGATGAATATTAAACCCACAACGGCTGAAGAATAAGTAGAAGAAGATGGCAAATGGAAGAAGAATCTACAGTATCACTCCTACAAATCACAATCTATGCACAAATTTGTAGGATGTAGATGTTGAACAATAAATGAATGAATGGATAAAGTTATTGTTCATTTAAAAATGGGGTACGGTTGTACAACAAAAACAACAACTACAAATAGCATCATAAATTACATTGTATTGTTGTGGCATAAAGTAGTTAAATATGCTATGGCATGGTTTTACTTACTTATTATGAGTGTAAATTTTTTTTAGGTTTGAGTTTGTAGGCGATTCTGCCTGTCTGTCCATTCGCCTATGTATAGTAATTGTATTGTTAAAATTTTGTTACTTGTTCAGTTCGAATCTTTTATGTGTTGCAAAAAATTCATTGGAGTGTAATTAATTCGACTATCCCGTTGACAAAAGTCCTTAGAGAGCTTGTCGTTTATACACTCGTATATTCGACAATAACTTGTCTCAAGTGTGAATTATTTTAATTTTTTACTTGGTTCTGCCTTTCATTTTACACTTTTGCCTTTAATGGTGTTTCTGTTGCTCCAGATAGATAGATAAATAATTAACCTTAATACTGTTTGTATAAATAAGTAATAAAGTAGAAATGTTTAATTTTATTGTGCTCGAAAAATTTTATAATCATAATTCATTAGAAAGTTGATCATAAATAATATTGACTGACAGTTCCTACTTTATTTGAAACATCCTAGCAGTTCGAGGGGACTGTATCGAACCAACTATTTAAACTACCACTTAGAATGCACAACAGACCCATAGTTGTTCTTCGGTGTTAATATAACATGCATCTTCTTTTCAAACTTACTAACTAACATCGCTTATCCCCAGCCACCTAATCTTCCAACATAAACATGCGCTTGTTCTAGGAGGAAATCAATCGCTACTCCAAACATTACAAAGAGACAGTCAGGAAGCTAGTCCAAAGGAGTCAATACTACCTTATTGCTTATGATTTTTAACGGGTCCACTCTCAAGATTGCTTTGCAAGAGTAAAGTTGCGACTGTACCCGCTCTCGCTTACAAAAGGGACACTTTCGTTTACAAAGGGTATTTTCGTGACGAAATATGAATAAGAGCCAACCAGGTAATTGGATGTTAGTGGAAATGACTGTCATCGAACTGCTGGGATTTGTTGCCCAAACACACGCTTAAATAGAATAAAATAATAATATATATATATATATATATATATATATGTAAGTATGTATATTTAATGGCTAACGGTTGAAGTTTTATTTTAGAATTTTGACCATTGATATGCCTAAATATGCTGTAACGACAATGACATAATTAACCACTTTAAAAGGTTCAATTTACTTAATTAATTTACAAACGATGATGTTAAAACAACAGACAAATATTTCGTTTGTCTATTATGTAACTATAGATTTTACAGTTAAATTTTTACACAAATTTCCAGTAAAATCTAGTTTCATACTAGACAATCGAAATATTTCTTAATTGTTTAAATATCATCGTTGAAAATTAATTAAGTATGTTAAATATTTTTAAGTGCAAAATTATGTTAATAAATTAGTGAAATATAAGTGAGACAAGCAATAGAAATTTCCATAAAATGCCTTCAATTAAACGTATGAGTAATTTTTTAATTGAATGCCTTTAACTGCATAAATCATACGCAAAATCTGATAAGTTTGCAAATTTATTTAGGTCACATATAAAACTAATTCCTAGAAAAAATAAACAAAATAACATGTTAAAGTCCAGTTAGTATGTTAACTTATGTATGTTTATTTATTTTATTAAAATGTTATAATCAAAGAATTTTGTTTTGTTTCGTTACTACCATTTAAGAAAGTAATAAATTTATGACACTTCATTATCAGGAAAACGAAAGTTTTAAACATTTAAAGGTGTAATTTTTTCTTTAACCTATAGTGAATTATATAACAAAGTGGAAATTTAAAATTTTATATAAATATTTAAAAATGTACATATTGAAATATTTGAATAATGTATTTTTATTCTTCTAGCAACACTTCATATAGAGAAAGTATGCATGTTTGTGTTTTCATGCTTGCATGCTTATAACTATTAGTTCTTAAATACATACTTATGTATGTGTTAGATAAATTTCTAATGACAATATATAAACTTAAATATTAATAACTTTTTAACGTCAATGTTTGCTAGGTCGACTTCATTATTCTTCATGAAACTTCTTGTTTCGACATAATGCTGTTATCGTTTTATGCCGAAAAATAAGAATGAAAGGAATAGGCTTACATTAACTACCCATTTAAGCAAACAATTTCTTTTAATGTTTAAACATTATAGTCAAAATAGCAAACATATTTATTCACGAATATACATTATACAGTAACGGAAATAATAACAGAATTACACATAATTTTTGGTGAAAAATGAATATCTTTTAAAAACTACAGAATAGAATTTCATGATTAATATTAAATGAAAGGAATTTGGACTTCTAACGGATAGTTTTGGAAAATATTAGCATTGATATTATTTATTCTCCACTGTATCTGAAAGTTGCATACAAATATACATAGTTTACTTATCATGAGTACATACATATGTATGAGTGTAAGGGTTATATGTGTAGTGAGTAATGGCTCTTTAGGTAAAATATAAAGAAAACTAAATTCTAAGTAAATTTGTTTAAAACCAAACCACACATCAGCATACATAAGTATATAGACACATATTCCTGCAGTCTTGCACATATATATGTATAATATACATCGATATGTAAATGCATAGGTACAAAAAGAGTCTTGGGTGTGTGGATACCTTATCAACTAGGAACCACATATCTTGACCATGTAAACACTTGTGTTTTGTAATATAAAAGTAAGTGTGTATGCAGATAGTATGTGGACATATAAATGAATCTTGTGTATGTCTACAGAAAAGCCAACATGTCTGCAATAAAAGTATACTTATAAATGTATATATCTGTGTGTGCCTTTGAAATGGATGTAGTTGTATTAGTTAAGTCAAGTTTAAGCATTAAAACCACAACATTTTCCAATTTTCTAAACCGTAGTGGAAGAAACATTGACATATTTAAACACACTGAAAGAGGAAAACCAATACCTTGTCATATGCATTCATACAAATGTAAGCACAGACGCTGCACATACATATGTACATAAGAATGTATGCATAAGCAAGCGTAGGTTTTGATTCTGTAACTAACTAACTACTAACTAACTAACTAACTAACTAACTACTAACTAACTAACTAACTAACTAACTAACTAACTAACTAACTAACTAACTAACTAACTAACTAACTAACTAACTAACTAACTAACTAACTAACCTAACTAACTAACTAACTAACTAACTAACTAACTAACTAACTAACTAACTAACTAACTAACTAACTAACTACTAACTAACTAACTAACTAACTAACAAACTAACTAACTAACTAACTACTAACTAACTAACTAACTAACTAACTAACTAACTAACTAACTAACTAACTAACTAACTAACTAACTAACTAACTAACTAACTAACTAACTAACTAACTAACTAACTACTAAACTAACTTACTAACTAACTAACTAACTAACTACTAACTAACTAACTAACTAACTAACTAACTAACTAACTAACTAACTAACTAACTAACTAACTAACTAACTAACTAACTAACTAACTAACTAACTAACTAACTAACTAACTAACTAACTAACTAACTAACTAACTAACTAACTAACTAACTAACTAACTAACTAACTAACTAACTAACTAACTAACTAACTAACTAACTAACTAACTAACTAACTACTAACTAACTAACTAACTACTAACTACTAACTAACTAACTAACTAACTAACTAACTAACTAACTAACTAACTAACTACTAACTAACTAACTAACTAACTAACTAACTACTAACTAACTAACTAACTAACTAACTAACTAACTAACTAACTAACTAACTAACTAACTAACTAACTAACTAACTAACTAACTAACTAACTAACTAACTAACTAACTAACTACTAACTAACTAACTAACTAACTACTAACTAACTAACTAACTAACTACTAACTAACTAACTAACTAACTACTAACTAACTAACTAACTAACTAACTAACTAACTAACTAACTAACTAACTAACTAACTAACTAACTAACTAACTAACTAACTAACTAACTAACTAACTAACTAACTAACTAACTAACTAACTAACTAACTAACTAACTAACTAACTAACTAACTAACTAACTAACTAACTAACTAACTAACTAACTAACTAACTAACTAACTAACTAACTAACTAACTAACTAACTAACTACT